AAGGTGAATGTTGATTTGAATAAGACTATCTTCTTAACTGGAAAATCTTCACAGTAAAATTACTATGACATTTTGTTTATACATTTTTGCTGCTTTTATTTATGCCAGAGCACCTCTGTGTCTTGGGTTAGTTGCCAAGGTTTTGATAGGGGAGGGACAACAGGGGTGGCTTCTGTGACAAAAAACAGAACCAGTGCCAGCCAGCATTGTGAAGCCATGGGGAACCTGCCTTGGGGCAGTCTGTTCCTGAAGGATTGCACCTTGTGGGAGCAGTTTGTGAAGAGCTGCAGTCTGTGGGAAGGACTCGGGTCCATGTCTGTGGAGGGCTGTCTCCCAGGGGAGGGAGCTCATGCCGCGGCAGGGAGAACGTGTGAAGAATCCTGCCCCTGAAGAGGAAGGAACAACAGAGAAAATATGTGGTGGACTGACCACAGAGCCTATTAGTCATTCCCCTGCACTGTTGAGGATGGAGAAGGTAGAGAGAAAATCATGAGTGAAGCTGAGTCTGGAAAGACGGGAAGGTTAGGAGTAAGGTGTTTTCTAAGGTTAGGTTTTATTCTTCATTACTCAGATCTGATCTGATTGGTAATAAATTAGGCTTTTTTTCCTAAGTTGAGTCTGTTTTGCCTGTGATGGTAATTGCTCAGTGTTCTCTTTGTGTCTTTATCCTGACCCAGGAACTTGTGGTTGTATTCTCTCTCTCCTGGCCAGCTGACAAAGGGCTTTGGTGGGCACCTGATGTTTAGCAGGAGTCAACCCACCACAGTATGACACATACCATCAAATTTGTGATGTGATAAAAAGGAGCCTGTTTAATCATCACCAGCAGATGCTATCAGTAATCCATAAGAGACACCTAATTTTTAATATAAGTGGGAATATTTTATTTTTTTTTTTTATCTCTGGCTATACTGCCAGAATTTTAAGTATGGATGCTTTAGTTTTCCTTGGTAAAACATATGATGGCAAGACAATAACTACTGACAAAACTGTTCATCTTCTAACTAAATGAATTGAATATCAAGAAATAAACACAAAACCCCACCCACTCACCAATCAAAAAGCCATTAAAATTCATTTTAATTCAGAATAGTAATTCAAAACTTTCTTGAATTTAAAAACTCATAACTGAATAACCAGTAGGTGACTCCAAATTTGTACTCTTAACTCTTCTTCATTTTGATTTGCTGTATTTAACTTACCAAAACCATAGATGAGTACACCTCAGAAGCCTGCACCATTTAATAACCTTTAATATAAAGCTTCAACATGTGCCATAGAAGGGTGCAATTTTAGAGCTCTCTTCTACTTAATATATTTACAGAAAGTGTAATTTCAAACAGTATATTATTCGCAGTTTTGGTGAGATGGAAAAACATCATAGTACAATATATTTTTACAAATAGCTTTAAATAATCTATCATGTAGCAAAGACTATATGATAAGAGACTTGATTTGCAAATGTGTAAGTGTAAAAAAGAAAAATATAGGCCTTTACTTGTTTGGTTTTTATGAAAAAAATTATTGTTTGAAACTAGTGCTTTTTGGCTGAGATTTGTTTCAGAATAAAAAAGCAATGATGTACACCATTTTAAAGTGGATTTCCTAATGCATAGGCTAGCCTAAAGGTTTCAAAATCCCTGAATAATTAACAAGTACTTACAGGAAGTAGCTCTACAAGGAGTTGATCCACTAAAGGAGGTTTGGTCAGCCTTAATAAAGGCAGGGACCTTGGAGGGTGATTACAAGTCAAGTAGAACATTGGAACAAGGACAAAAAGGGAAATAAATAGCAGACTCAAGAGGATTTCCACCCCATACTGAACCTTGCAGGAGAGAGACCCCATCTGGTTCTGTCCATCCCAGCATCATTCCTGCTGTAAGCATTTCACTGAAATACTTTTAGCTGTATTTCTCTGTGGAAAGTGCTTCATCCAAGCTGGTGGTAAAGCTCAAAATACTATATGAATGTTAATTGATCTTAGGTTTCAACATTTCTTCTCATCTAAATTGTTAAGTGGTCTATTTAAATTCCAATCTCAGGTCTTAAATCTCAGTACTCAGGTTTTTTTGATTCAATTTTTTAATGTGGCACTGCTCAAGATGATACTTAGCAAGACCTACATGTATTGTAAGCAAATCTGTAATGTATGTCTGTGTCTCCTCATTTCCCTCATATAAAGAAAATACCCTATTCTTTGTGCTTGAGGCATTCTGGCTGTTTCAAAATCCTGACAGTGTAACTTACTTTGCCTGACCTTTGTAATTCTGGTTTGGTTGACATGTCTTGGCAAAATGTCTACACACTGTGGAAATTTGCACCCATATCAGCAACTTGTGGCTGACCAAATTTTGAAAAATTATATAGCCCTGCGATTGACTTCTTATTTCCATTCCCTTATAAACTGGGCAAAAAAACTAGAAGCTAAATGAAATCAAACTTCTTCTCAGTTTTTCTATGCATTCTCTCCTATAAGTTTCAGTAAAGCACAGCAATGAGTGATTTACTTGATTAACTTGTGAAATAGCTAGCAGAAATGGCTAGTTAGCTGTACTTAATGTATAGATAAAGGTAGGGTTCTGAGACATCTCTTCTGTGAAAGTACAGTTATTTCTAAAATGATTAATTCTGAGATATTCCTAATGTCATGTATATACAGAAGTAATAGAACTATTAAAGAAAATGGTGTGAAGAAAGGACCTTGACCCAAATTCATCCCTGGGGTAGTTTTAACAATTAGAGAAGAGTCATGCTAGGAATAAAGCTGACCCCCTGTTTTAAATTTCAGGGACTTTTGGAGGCAGTAGAAAAGACTTAGTGAAATTACAGATGTCATTTAAATAACAGTGTGATTCAAGAGGATGTGAACATATGCTCAAGTATTCAGTTAATGTGATGGAGCTCCAGACCCTGCACAGAATAAGAACTTTCGTGACTATGAGTATTTGGCAGTTTATTGAGGTGGTACCCAGTACTGTGGTGAATATCAGAAAAGGAAATTGTCATCTGCGCATGTTTGGGAGCAAACCAAAGATAATATAACTTTGAAATTACTTGTAACAGAGAGGGTTAGCTACTACAGATTCAATCCCAAAGATACCATTTAAGATGCTTCAGAAACACTTTGTGTGTTTTCTCTTTGGCTGATCTTGCTGGTAGGCAGGATAAAAGGTTTTAAGGAAGCATCAGAGTTTGAAAGATTCTCGTAGGGACTGAAAATTTGGAAAGTGAAAAATAGTAAGGCACTTTTGTGGGGGACAATTTGGAGACTGCAATGTACAACTATTCACAGGCAAGTTTTCTTTCATTTTTTGCATGAGAAAAAGCACAGGGCAAGGAAGAGGCAGATAGCTCTCAAGCTCTGATGAAGTGCAGCTCTCTTGTAAATATTTTAAACAGACATATCTTCTGCTAGATATTTGCTTAGTCCTGATGGGCATGTCTAGGAGCTTTGGTTTGCTTCGTGTCTCCCTACAGTGTGGCAGCAGCACAGCACCCAGCAGCAGAGGCTTGTCCTCTGCAGAACAGTGCCCAGCACTTCCCAGGGCTGGCCACTCTGATGCTGAGTGCCCCAAAGGAGCCTGTTTAATCTGCCCTTTGTTTGGGTTAGCAAACATGACTGCTTCCCTCCAGTTACTGCAGAAGGTGGGTCCCATCCAAAAAGCACAGCTGTTGGCACACTGCTCATGTATTATCCTCTTGCTGGAAAAACACTGCATTTTTCTGGTCTGACTTTTTTTTCCCCTTTTCTTCCTCTTTTAGAAATTGTTTTGAATTTCTACCGTATTTGTACCTTGATGTCACAAGCTTCATACAAAAAAATCTCACACACCCTATTTCAGCCCTTAGGCTGGAGAAATTCCTTCCAGGACAGGAACCATTGCCCAGTCACTAAAAATACCTCTTAAAGGCATATAGTTCATGGAAGAGGTTTAATTTCTTATCTACAGAGGTGACACTGCTTCCTCGAGAATTTTGCCAGTGGTTTCATACCAGTGCACAAAAAATAGATTTGTATGACCTCAGATCAAACGAGAGGAAAAGACTACTGGAACAAAACAAGTCTATGACAAAATCCAGGAATGATGGGAAACTCAGTTCCCTCAGATGTGAGAAATTTCATATACATGCAGCTGAAAAATAGCTGTAAGAGCTGGTGTTTTATCTTGACCCCTGGTAGTCATTGAACAGCTTAATCCTTCAATTATTAGAATTTTTCTTCCTCATAATTACCAAGTAACAGTGCCACTGCCATGACACACACTGCACTGAGGTTCAACATTACCAGAGGAGCTACATAAGAGAAGACTGCATAATTATCTATTCCTCCAGAGGGGACAATGGAAGAGGCAATGCAAACCATGTATTCCAGAGTAAAAGTGTAGGATGGGCAGATAAAACAATTTGCAGCTGATGAGATCTACTGGTATAATTAATTTCTGGGTCAACCTGAACATATCATGAATCTAAACAAGTTTTGGTGAACGTTTTTCAGTATATAGAGATTTTTAGAGATTATTCTTTTCAGAAAGTCACGTGCAAAATTCTGCTACTTGCTCCCCATTTGACATATCAGAAATAGGATTTTCTATTTATTCTGCAAGAAAGAAATTCTAAAGAATTAAGAAATTCCAGAAGAATTTCTGCTTTTGATGATTTTTTTTTTTATGAAAAATTGTTCAATTGGAACCTGCAAAAACATACATTAATATTGACAGAAGAATTGCATGGTTGTGTTCAAAAATAAATTTCTAACTCTTATAAAAAGATTGAAAAATCTGCTGTTCAGAAATACAAAAAAAAAATCCAAAACCCAACCCAAAATGAAACATACTGTCACTGCTGTAAAGAAAAAAATGTATGACAGAGACCTCTCTCTCTAAATGTCTGTTAGCTTGAAGTTGAAGATGTGTGAAAAATGCTGCCCAGGCACAGCAGGTGTGTCAGAAGTGACCATTAAAAAGATCTCAGATAATGAAATATTCTCTTCCCCTTGACAGAGATGATGAACATGAATGAATGACCTGCCTGATATTACTTGGTCTGAACGAGTTCAGAACTGCCTGCTGAGCTATTAGTTATTTGTGGACGTCGTGCACAAAACCAGGATCAAAATGCATCAGCCCTGTCCATCATAGAGTTCTACTGAGAGCATTTTAAATGTATTTGCCTCCAAATACCTCAGATATTTCCATTCTAGCATATTATATGCAGCTTTTTTATAAGTAGTGAATAATCTATTGATCAAAATTATCTGACGACACATTAAAGGTTGTGATATAAATCTGGAGTTACTTCTAACAAAAAAAGTGGGGTATTCTGGCTACTCCTCATACCAGAAAAAAATTATAAATATTTTAATAAAATTCCTATTCCCGCTTCTCTTACAAGCCTTTAGCATTTTGTTGCGCTGAAGAGAAAATAAAAACACAGAATTTCATTGAATGATATAAAAGAAATATGAGAAAGATTTGATGTCAAATGGAAAAGCTTGTGGATTTATGCGTCGAATTTCCCATTTGAAATTCTACTTAGTCATCTTCTCTTCATTCTGGAAGGAACTACATAAAATGTGATGCTTTTATTTGTCTTTCACTGAAACAATTAAACACTTGCATTATAGAATGAAAAGGAAAAAGTAAAATTCATTTTCACTTCACAGAGAAAGTTGAAGATTTAAATCCATGGACTGTCTCTTAAATAGGCTGCATGTTTAAAATATGGCTCTTGCATATTTTGGACAAAATTTATGTGTCAATGTACTATTCCCCAAAACAGATAGAAGACCGTTCTGCAGAAAGAAATTGCTGGTGGTAGCAATGTCCAATAAATATCTAGAAACTGAAAATAGCAGGAACATTTTTTATTTGTAATGCAGGACATTTTACGAGGCAAAATTTTGTAACATATACAGAATTACACACTAAGAATTACACACTGTTTGACCCTTACTTTTAATGAAAGCTGTTCATATCAATCCCTGCATGTTACACTGAAAGTACTTTGCTCCCCCAGGTCTAGCAGTTAAAACAAATTTGGTATTATAGACTTTCAACTGATTTAGAACTGAGAGATAAATGGATGTTTAACACACAGGCATTGCAAGTCACATTAAATGCCTGATCCTAAAACCCACTGAAGTCTGTGGGAAGCTTTCCATTGCTTTAAATGGGCTTCAGATCAGGCTCCCAGGGGGTCACTTGGCAAAGCCACAGTTAAAACATCTGACAGTGTTTGTATTACAAGCGTCCACTTTCACAGGGCTATAATCTCAGTCATAAATATTCACTCTGGATTCAGCTCTTGCCATATTCTGTAGACCAGTTTTCAAAAGTGGGTTTGATAGTTCATAAATTATTATCTGCACAGGTTGCATTCTTTTAATGGGAATACACATATGGCTCCATAGAGACTATTTATTCATGTATATATATATGTGTGTGTGTTTGAGTGCTTGCATGCTGAATGCAGAAACACGTGCTGAACAACTCAGCACAGTGAGGAGATTTTTGCCTCCACAGTAGCCTTGGAGCCTCTTCCCATTTTTTTGTTAGGTGAACACTCTGACCACCCCTGTGTGACAGTGCCCCTCCACTCCAGCTCTCCTCTGATATTGAGACCTGGGAAGAAATTTCTCCCCCTAAAGACATCTGTGTTCAAGTGTGCATCAGAGTGAGCTCCTCAGGCCCCCACAGTGGGCAAAGGACATCAAGCCAACACACCTAGAGTGAGTCATCCAAGCCTGAGATACCAGACAGCAAACTGCTCCCTAGTCTCCACAGATGTATTGACTGGATCTTCACTGATTATAATGGTGAAGAGGATTGACCCTGGATGGATTTCAGATGACCTCCAAAGCTGTGCTATCCCTTCCCTTCTCAGCTGGGCAGGGGAGAGAAAATATAATGAAGAGTTCATGGGTCAAAATAAGGACAGGGAGAGGTCACTCACCAGTTACCATTACAGGCAAAATAAGCTCGGCCCAGGAAATTTACCTTAATTTGTTACCAATAAAATCAAAGTTGGATAATAAGAAATAAATATAAAAAAACCCCAAGCTAAACCCCCCACCCTTCTCTTTTTCCCAGGATCAACTTCATTCCCAGTTTTCTCTACCTTCTCCCTCAGTAGTGCAGGTGGATGGGGAATAGGGGCTGTCATCAGTTCATGTTGTCTCTGCTGCTCCCCCCTCAAGGGCAGGACTCTTCACACTCCTCTCCTGCTCCACTCTGTGGTCTTCCATGGGCTGCAGGTGTATCTCTGATCCTTTATGGATCTCCAGGGACTGCCTCACCACAGGCTACACCACGGGCTGCAGGAAATCTCTGCCCTGGCTCCTGGAGCACCTCCTCCAACCCTTTCTGCCCTGACCTTGGCAGCTGCAGTGTATTTTTGCTCTCTCATAGTCTCTCTCCCAGCTGCAGCTGACCTTTGTTTTTTAAAATCTGTTGTCCAAGAGGCGCTACCACCATTAGTGATGGACACAGCCTTGGCCAATGGCAGGTCCATCTTGGGAACAGCTGGAATTATCTCCATGGGACATGGGGGCAGCTTCTGGCAGAAGCCACACTTGCAGCCCCCCACTCCTCTCCACCCCTTCCCTCTGCTTCCAAAACCTGGCTATGCAAAACCAATACGCTATAATGGGATCTTAGAAAATTTGTTCACAGCTTTAGTTTATGTGTTTTAATCTTGAATGGACTTCCAGCAGTGAAGCTGGCCTCTGTTGCCAGAAAACTGGCTGGAGATATTCACACTCACTATAAAGAGGAGCAAACAACAGCAAAACAGTGCGGTGAATAATGCTTTATCATGTTCTCCAGGATATTTATTTCTGTAAATTCCTATTGTCCCATCCTCTTCACTTCACAAGGATCGTTTCTAGGAACCACTGAGCTGTTGTTACTTTAGTTCTAGAAGTGCAGACATACATTTAATAAAGCAACTGATATGGATGATGGAGTCCAAAATTTATAATCCTCCAGACTCAGAGCAAGAGTAATGATCTGCTGAATCTGAGGATGTGTGATATTAATCTCTGATACCCCGTGTCAAGAATGGATACCCACTATTCAACAGTACCTTGACCTTGAGAGGGCACTTGAGTCTCAGAGGGAGTAGAAGAATTGTTCAATTTTTGCAGAGCAAGCTGTGCCATCTGCTAACGTCACCCCTCTGAGCTGCATGTGGCTTCCTACCCTTTGAAGAGTCTCCTCTGAACTGGAATGATCATCCAGGAGCAGTGAATGGTGAACAGCTTCCCAAGGGTGTGCTGTCCCTCAGGGGTAGACTGGGACAAGTCTGCCCTTGGGAAGCATTGGGTCACCTCAGCTGCCCACAGTAGCCCAGAATCACTCGGCAGATTGACTGTGGTGGGTGAGGTGTCCACACCTGGGTAGAGCCTGGGTAGCTCAGCACCTGGGAGCATAGTGAAGGTGTGGCAGATCCATGCCAGATACCAGCCTGCAGCTCTGGCACACTGCACATCCTGTGCCTCTAGACAGAACTTGCCCTGTTCTCTCCTGTATTGGATTGCCAGGATGAGCTGAAGGGGAAAGGCAGTAAATTAAGCCTGGCAATGACAGACCTACATAGCTCAGGAGACATGGTCATTGTTAAAACAGAAGTATAATTGGACCCAGTTGCAGCCTTAATTTATTCCCTAAGTCAAGAACGGATGAATTTGGTTTCTTTGTCACATTTTGTTATGAGAACTAACCTTCTTCCAAAATGCTTTGGCATCAGCTGTTTTACTGTTTCAGTGGCATATTGACTCGTTCTATTCTTTATTGAGTATCAGTACCAATACAAACACTTTCCAGATGCATCCTTCAAGATCCTTTTCTCTTTCATGTCTCACTAACTCTGTCCCTGGGATTAAACTACCGTCTTGTCTCCTCAGCCAATTCTGAGAACACACATTAGCACAAAATTGCATGACCTGTGCTTTTGTCACCTAGCTGGTTAAATGAGGTACGTGTTAGTTTAATTGCAAATCTTTGAGTGAACAGCCTTGAAGTACACACCTTGGGGTGTGTAAATTCTCAAGGTTTTATGCTCTTTATAGCCTTTCAGTAATGGCTGTAACAATGACTTTCAATTGACTGACAGTAGTATGAGTTGTACAGCAAAAATAAAACTATTGCAAAAGTATTTCATTGTTTTACTTTAAACTGTTTGCTGGGTAAAATGTAAATATTTAATGTAAACATACTTTCATTTTTGATAAATACGGCAATTGAACTAAAAAGTGTAAAAGTAAAATGAAAAGAAGGAAAAAGTATGGAAAGTAGGCTCAAAGTTGTGGAGGGCAGGGTTTGGTTTATTGTTTTGCTTTACTTTGGTTTTGGCCTTTCCATGAAGAAAAAATAAAAAAAATAAAAAAAAAAATCTTCAGTGATAATTCTCTACACAAAATTAGAGGCAGAAAGCACACTTATATGATATCAGAGACCTCATGCAATAGATGATATTGCACTCTGCGTGATTAAGCAAAAGCAACCCTAAGCATCTCTAGAGCTTATATAGTGCTATCCTGCATCAGCCAATGATTTAATCAGCTGTGACTATAGCCAGACAGTAAACATATGTTACTCCTCCCCCAAGAAGCAGTAGATCTACCCTTGTTTGTTGATTCAAGCGTAGTGTACACTCCAACATTATTAGCCAGTCACCCATGCTTTTAAATACAGAGAAGATCTATTTGCTTGCAGAGAGAACTGTGAATACTTACAGGGTAGAGAAGAGACCTGAAGAAGAAAGGTAGCAATTACCCACCTGAGAATGAGAATTATTTTCTAGCCTGTAACTATACTGTTAGATTTTTACAAGGACACTTTTGGAGAGAAAGCAGTGCCTTGTTTTGCTCCCAGAAGCGCAGCCTGCTGAAAACTACACTGTGGAGCAATAAAGCCATTGATACACTGATGCTGTAACATCGTTTTCTGGGAAGTCACTTGCTTAAGGGCATGTTTCTCAGCATGGCACTACAAAGCTGTGGTTACTTTTGGTGATATGAGTATTACATATAAATGCACTCAGCATGCAACAAACTAACCACAAAGAAGATAGACAGGTTTGTTCTCCTTCAGTATTTTTCTGCTTTTCCTTCTTAGTGTTTCTCCAGTGAGCAGAGGTGTTTGATGCTCTCTTTATTTCACAATTTGTATTCCTTTCCCGCCTGCTTCTAAATACAGTGTCAATTAATTAGTGGCTATACCATTAGGAGACTATGAGTAGGATTTTCCAGGGCTTGTACAGCTAACTCACCATGATTACAGGTTATATTCCTGCAGTGAATGACGTGTCCTGCATTAAAATCCAGCACTTCTGGCACTTAAGGCCATGCTAAAAGTGGTGGGGTTCTCACTACAGGGGCTTCAAAAGAGCAGGGCTAAAGAAGTTTCATCCAGAAGAAATGTTGGTGACAACTTTCTTGACAGAATCTTGTGGTTGTTCAACCAAATCTTGCTCCTGAGTTCACAAATTCCTTTCCTTTAGCGTCTTTCCTACAAACATAATAACGAATGGCTCTGTTCTGAAAAGTTGAATATGTGGTCAGCTAAAATTTGTCCTCACAATGCCTAGTACAAATGATGATAGATAAATCTCCAGCTGCTCGGAATAATTGAACACTTAGACTGAAGATAAATATACCAAAAATTTAGCCCAGGCTAATCAATATCAAGTTAGAATAAAAAGTATGATCTGAATGATATTCAGAATGCTCCATCTCTATCAGGGAAGAAAGGGGGAAATGTGTACTAAACAATTTCCTCCCTAAGTTGAAAGATTAATTGTACTGTTGAGCAAAACTTGACACAAAAATATGTCAAAACAACTAATTCCTTTCTATTGATAAGGGCACATAAATCATTGTAGATACTGCATTTTTAGTGAGTCTGATTAGCAATTAGATGATGTTTCTAATGTATGTTCTTCAAAATCCATTGCTTTCTTTCCTTAATTTTCAATTGTATACACACATTTTTCAGTCCAATATAGTATGTAGTATTAAACCAGAAAAAGTGTAGATGACAGTCACAGATGGTTATTAATATTGATGTTCACCTAATTAAACATCATAACCCTGAGATGTTAATTTATAACATTTTCAGTAAAAGTCTGACAGATTTGAATGTATTATTAACATGATAGAAATAAATAGTCTTCACAACAATACTGCATCACTTAGGCATTTGAGGAAACTCAGTTTCTTAAAAATACAGTTTTACACCAATCAGTTAAATTTATGCCTTTGAATTGAGAAAGCAGCTTCCTTCTGTGCTGCTGTGGCATTTCACTGTAGAAATCAGATACTTTTGTCTTTGATGGTTAGTAGGAAATGTTGGGACTTACAAATAATATCAGGTCCCAGAAATGATTTGGCACTTTGTCATTAACAAGTTTCATATCTGATATTAGATAACCCATGTTTGTAGGAGTACTTTCCTCCTATCTTTTATTTCCTTTTCTGTAATATCAGACATCAGCTCCTCTGTAACTAGTAGTTTATCATGCCTATTTACATAACCTAAAACTAGACATTTGAAATGCAATGCAGCTACATAAAATGCTTTTTCATTGGGAACAGTAGATTGAAAATGCTGCATATCACGATGCAACAGTTTTTATTTTTAATCAAAGGGTTGCAAGTGGCAGTTCAGATTCAAGCTAAACATATTTCATTCAGCCTCCATTCCCTGGTGTAACACAACAAAGTAAATTGTAATGATCCTACCCATCTCCCTCCTCCTCTTCCTAAGAATCAATTGTGTTTGTTCACTTATCACCTTCTGTATCATATTTCATTTCTATTTTGGGACATCAAATGTGGTACAGAGTAGCTGCTACCTATTTGTGCTAAATTGTTTCTTGCTGCAGATTCTTATTCCTGTGCTGTGTAATTCATATCAGTTCTAATCTAAGGGTCTAATAACACATCAGAGTTTTTCAAATGCACAAGATCAAATATGTAGTTTTCTTCAGGAGTCTGGTTGAGGTCTGATCCTCTTAAATACCATCTAAATGTAGATTGCAGTTGAGTTCACCTTCTGCCCAGGATCTGATAGAGATTTATATTTACTATGCATTTTCCTAAATGGCCTGAAAGTTTAGAAGTGTCTCCATTGGCAGATTGCCCTCCTGATCTGCTGTGATCATTTTTAGGTAGGCAGGCACTTGAACTCTCCCTTTATTCTCTGAGAAAGCAGAAATATTAGACCTGAGAAGAAATATAACTGGCTTTACCTGCCAGTGATGGAAGATTGCAGTTATGCAGATTTGACAGCAAGGACTTCTGTCCTTGCTCCCAAATGATACTGCTTAGATGACTTTTTTTCCAACCAATAATAATGTAACCCATTTTAATGCAGCAGGCTCTTGAATTCTGGACCTGACTTACACTAGTAGAAGTAATGACTAATATATAGTCAAACTTCATTGCTTCTTTTATCTGACTTGCTGAAGTTATGAACACATGGAAGATACCAAGACAGGAGATTAACAAGGACTTTAGGCAACATACCAATCAGTTGAATATTTGGTCTAGAGAAAACATATTTAAGGAATTTTAGAAACAAAATTGTATGTATGTGAGAAATAATTGGCAAGATAACAGCTATATTTTTATATATACTTTTTTTTTCTTTGTGAATATAATAATATAATTTACTTTATTTTTTTTAGGAAAGAATAGATAAAGCAAAACCATAAAATTACTTACTATTTTTCTGTTATGATGAAATATGTAAATTTGTCCCTTCTTAATGATTTTTCTTTGCTTCAAGAATGACTGAAAGAATAAGTTTTTATTATAAAAAATAGCCTTCTAAACTAGTATTTTCCCCACACATGTGCTATTCTGAGACTGAATATCTTGTCTCAGTAATGTCACTGTCAATCTGAAAATTCAATACAGAACCAGTTCAACTCATGGACCTATGAGTCAGACCCACGTGCTAACTAAAATAAAATGAAATTGAATAATATGTTTAGACACTGTGATGCTAAGCATTGCAATGGACAGATTGAAAATACCTGGCTTTGAATTGGAACTATTTGAGTTTCTTTGCATTATTACACTTGGATACATACAGACAACTTGAAGGAAGTTCCAAAAAAAACTCACACATGTTTAGGAAAGAGAAACTTAGATGTGAGATAATGGTTAGTTTTTTAATAAAAAGCACCAGCATATGTCCTAAATATAGACTTTTGTAATAGTTTAGTTACCACACCCTCATTGGTGTTTCTAACTTCGAACCCTCCTCTAAAACAAGGCCTTCAGCTCCCTTTCAAACTCCTCTTACCAGTGGAGGAGGAACATGCCTTACCCTCTGAAACCCAGCAGCAGAAGGATACATTATTTTCCACATGAGGATTGAGTATCAGAGTAATTGAATATTTTTAAAATTATATGACCAAAAAGAGGAATGTATTCCTGGGTACAGGGGCTGGAAACCAGCCCACCCATCCTCCAAATGTATCAACAAGAGAAAAGCTACACGAGTATCCCTTTCCAGTGGGACTACCAGTGCTTCCCCTGCTCCTTCACTCCCAAGCACAGCCAGAGGTGCCCAGCTGTGCCCCAGCACTGCCACACGGCAGAAATTAAAGGGTCAGAGGGTCTGACAAGGTGCCCGCTCTGAATCTCCTCAGCAGGAGAAAGAATTAAAGAGTGTTACAGCCATTCTGCTGTTGTATGAAGAGCTTCCTCAAACTTCTTTTTCTCTTTTGAAGAGGAAGCTCCCACTTTATTGAGTAAAGATCATAGATTTGCACTGCTCTGGTGATAATCTCTATAAAAAAATCTCGGTCCAGGGCTGATTTGCAAATGAGACATGATTTAATTTAGTGCTGCTTTTTTGACCTGGTAAGATAAAGGTGTACTAGGGAAATTAGATATTGGGAAAAGGTGCATAGGGAAAGTGAATTTCCCCAGGGCATTTTGGACATTGAACACTCATATTTAGGATTAGTGTTTCGGACTTAAAGAGTTAGTTCACAGTTTAGGCCAATAATAATATTTTGGACATAGTGAATTGAGCCTTCTCTACACTCACTATCTTGAATTGAATGGAAGCCCAAAACTGCTTAAGGTTTCTGAGAGGATTGCTGTCAAGTCATAGAGAACAGATAGAAGGAACATTTTTTACTCCTCTAAGAACTTCTTTGCGTTATGAACAACAAAACATTTTCAGTAGATGTGTGCTGAAAATGAAAGGGACAAGAAATTGATAGTTCAGTAAATGAATCTAGAGCAATGACCGGCTAAACAATAAAAAAATGTGTTTGAGAGACTGGAGTTCATTCTCACTGTCAAAGTGGCAAACAGCTCCCTGTACAAAGAATGGGGATTACAGCATATTCTCTTATCTGTCACCAGATGGAGGAGGATGCTTTCACAAAGACATTTTTAGTAAACCCACCAGGACAGAATTACAATTACCCATTGTGGGCAGATAAAATGAGAAAACCATCACCAATGCAGTTTTTTGCTGTGACAGCACTTGGGATCTAGACGGCAATTGCAAATACAGAGCCTTAAGTGAGAGAGCTCAATTACGACTTTATGCATTTTCTTGATTACATCAGCCATTAAAATATGCAGAATAGTATTTTCTAAAAGCTGATTTTCAGGTGAAGACAAAGAAGGGGCAGCAGAAAAGATTCTCATTTTCAAGAGGAAGCTAGAAATCATTGTCTCAGAGTAGAAAGCCAGAATATCACATATAAATTTTAAGTTTGTTTTATACATTTTTATAAATAGACTTCAAATAAAGCAGGGCATTTACATCAAAGCAGATAACCATTCTATTCATTGATAGAAGATTTTTTTTCTTTTCTTTGAAAGTGTCAAATCTGTGATTTAAAAATAGTATGACAGGCTGGGCTGCTGCTGTTAATGGGGAGAGAAGGAGCTGTGTGACGAAGAGACATTGCATCAGGTACTAACAAAGAAGCCAAAGACTTTTAACAAAGCACTGTGTCAGTACTGTGCTCTTCATTAGGGATGAAAGGTGCTGCTGCTAGCTTAAATAGCTTATTATCTTCAGGCAAATATATAGAGCAAATTTTAGTGTGCAGGTCACTACTAGGTGTGCCATAGCTGAAACTCACTTGTGAAAGCTTTCCTAGCTTTACCAGCCAGTAATTGTTGTCAGTCTGTAGACACTACCAGGCAGATTTATTTGAATAAACTTGACTGTGAAGATTTTGCTCTGAAATAATTCTATTGATGTCATCATACCTAGCTTTGCCATGAAAGTATTTTCCTTGATGCGTGGTGACCTAAGCAGCTGTAAGGCAGGTAAGTTGGTAGCAAGTGAAGTAAGCCATGAGGTAAGCCATGAAGAAACTATTCTATCCAGTTCCCTCCTTTTCAAATAATGCTAATTTATTTTCTGTTTACACACATTCATGTTATAGGAGCAATAGAAGGCATATTCTGAAACTCTTGAAAGTAATATTCTTCCTCCAAAACAGAGAGCAATGTACCTGTGCCATAATCTTTGAAGTGAGAATTTAACCTCTAATACACTGTGTAAATAACATTCCATTTTCCCTTTAGAAACTGTAAAATAGTGAGTCTTATTCCCACACACTTAAGAAAATTAAAATATGATACCTTCAGTCTTTTCTCTCTAGGTTTTAATGACGATCTAAGCTGAACTGAAATTTGGATAGCCAAAGAACAAAGAACACAGCATAGGTTTGATGCCCATACCACAGGTCCTTAACACAAATTAACTGAGAGAATTTCACCTTCCCTGCCTGAGTGATAGCAGAGGGCAACCCAAGCCCTCCAAAAGCCCTCGACCCACCGCCTTCGATGCCCACCTACACTCAATCTCCCCATGGGTAGCGGATAAATCCATTGGTGCACTTCTGACATGTCAGGTGTGCATCTTATAAAAACACTCAGTGGAAAGTCTCTGCATGAGAAGTGATAGCAGTTGGCCTCCATTAGCTTGGAGGAAGCTGTACTCCCAACAGCAGTGTCATCCCTTTTGGCATCAGTGTTTTATGTTCTTATTACACATATTTTACAAAGCTAAATCAAAATGTAACTTGATCTCTAAAATAACTGTCTCAGAGGTATTTTAAATCCTAAATTGAGTAAAGAGAGATCAACGAGGCACTCAGAGAAATGAAATACTAGAAGGAGGATGGTGGTTCAAACATAAACAGCCTGTGTTATAGAGAGTCACCAGCTCTGACAGTCTTACACAGAACTTGTGCAAGGCTGTCAGAGATGTGTAAGAGAGCCAGATTTTCTGCTAGTAACAAAGTAATTCAGCTAGGAAATTGTGGTCTATACAATAGACTGAAATCTAGGCTGCAAGCTAGATTCTTGAGACTGAAAGTTTCTTTCTCCATGTATATTCAGCTCCTAACATAAATGAATTTCAGTCCAGATTCAGGCCTTTACCCACTGCCAAAACATAGGTAGCAATATTGATCCCATTGGGGCAATCTTTAGCTCTTGTCTGGTTTCATCAATGCTGGGAACTTGTTCTATTCAAAAACCTGCTACATATTAAAAAAGACTGCAACCCTGTCTGTCATGATTAATCTTTTATGACTACTGCAGCTGCAAAATATCTCCGGCCTCTGCTGAGCCTAGATTTTAGTAAAACAATAAGCATAATAAATTAGCTAATATTTCAAAGTGTTTTGCAGAGTCCCAGGTCACTTACCATAATCTCTGACACAACTCCATTTTGTAGTTCTTCTAGGTGTTTCCAGGTAAATTGTGTGCCATCTTGGGTAGGAGCTATATAACATAGGTCAAGTGGTTAATATTCTAGTGAATTTATTGCGGATAAGTCAGTCCTATAATAAACCTCTGAAGAGTCCCATTTATCAGTAGAAAAAAAAATATTCAAGCTAAGAAAGTAGATTTCAGAATATCCTTTTTTATTGGGCTTACAATAGTGCTTTCACCCCAAGGTGAGAACAAATTCTGTTTGAAATAGGTGAATACCAAATAGATAATTATATGAAGACAAAATAATCTTCATCAATCTACAGAAAATAAAAAAAAAAAAAAGTAATTTGTAAGAATAGCATAGGCAGCTAGAGAGCTACCATGGTGTACCCCAGCGCAGTACAATGTGTTCTATGTTATCTGTTCAGGTGTGCAATACCTGAAATAAATGTGAAGTCATCTCTAAAAGTTGTTTTGTGGAATTTATTGCTTAAGTATAGAAGTAATCTTTGAAAACTTTCAGAAAAGGAAAGCAGTTACTAAAATATCTGCAGATCACTACAGCAGGAAAACAAAAGCTAAATTCAGAAAATGCCTAGGAAGAAGCACTATAGGTTATTATTTCAGCTAGAGAGAGATTGGTTCGGGTTCAGAGATTGGTACCTTTGTGTCCTGAAGACAAAAAAAACCCAACAATCTTATGTTTCCAAAGTAGTTTATCTTATTAATTATGAAGTAGTCATTTTACAACTGCAAAGACACTCTGTGAGGTGACATCTGAAGTCTGCCATGTCCAGTGACTCCTTGTGCAAATCCCTCCACTGATGCCTTAACCATGCAGAGACAAGTGACAAGAAACTGGTGTAGTATAAACACTAAGTAGTGAAATTGGGGTTACATCTCACTAGGAGAAGTCAAGCCACCTCCAAATATAAATACTCAGAATGTACACCAGAGTGAAGCAATGTATGTATAACTATGCAAATTGTCAGAGGATCTTCTAGCCCAGAGTATGCTCCTAATCTAACTATAAGAAACCAATTGTCAATCTGAGTCAGGAATGTCAGAATTACTGCTCCATTAAATCTAATGGCTCCCTGAAGCAGGAAATAAGTTGGGTTAACTAATATTAAATTTTGTTCATCCAATCAAAAATGTGGTGACATCTCCCTGCCCATAAAAAAAATAATTAGAAATGTGATTATGAAGAATATCTGTACTGTACAGCACAGAAGTCCAGAGAGAAACACCAGGGAATTAAAATGTGGATCTCAGAAAAAATTCCTTCCCCCAAAAGATATCTTGGCACAGCAAGTTACCAGGTGTGCTTTAAAGAGTCTAGTAAATTTGTTCCCATTACAGCTGAGAAAGTGCATTTTTTCCCATTACAAGGAAGTCAGAAAATCCCTTATAAATGGGAGAAAAGCTAAGAGTATGTTATTTTTCTCTGTGGTTTTATTTTTAGTGCTTACTTGTATTCTGAATGAAAGATTTTTCTTTCAATTGAAGTTTGGAAAATAATTAGAGAAAAGGTGTTCTACAATTCCTACTCAGCATGAAAATACCAACAAGTTGACATGGTACAGAGTGTGGTGGATAGCTTCTATGACACCCTCAAGTCCTGTCTTATTCTAGTTCTGTGCTAGTGTAGTTGTACTAAAACCAGTGGACTTAAACCCAACAAAATAAACAGGAAGGAGGGATTAGAGGCCTCACAGAGCATGTGGAACATTAGAGAGTCTTTAATGTCTGCTTGTAAAGAGCTGTAGATGCCTGGCCTTAGGCAATCAGATGTTAAATAAATGCCCAAAGCAATTTGATATAATGGGTTCTGTTCTGTGCTAAACAACAAAACTGTGCCCTCTTCTTTCTCCTCTGAGGAGAGCTTATTCCAGCTGTCCAAGCCATTTTTTGTCATTCTTGCCCACAACACACTTTCTGCTCTTCAGAACCAGAGATTCTTCTCTCTGATGTCCTTTATTCCCACCTGGAAACACAGATGGCAGAACTGTCTCCAGTGTTGCCAATGTGGAACAGATCAGGCATGGCAGCATCACTGTCAGTCATTTGTCACAAGTTCCCTTCTGATCTCTAGTATGGATTTTATTTTTTTTTTTTTTTTTACTAAATAATTTCATTCCTTTTGGCATCTTCCTTGCTCTGAAGAACTTACTCTTTCATCATAGGTACGGATGGTATTTAGTGATGCAGGGTGTTCTTTGCTACAGCAGGGACAGAAATAATTCTAAAGGACAGGTGACCTGAAACAATAAAAAGTGGGCAGATGCAGGCAAATTGCCTCAGTAAGCACTGTGATTGTGTATGATCTTTTCCACCTGCTAATGAATATGCATGTGGAAAATAAGAAACTCTTTTTTTTTAAACTGTGTTGAGTTTGCATTGGTAGTGAATAAATCAGGATGATAAAATGTGAAGTCATCCATATTTAAGATTCAACAGAAAATGACAGTTATAATCTGCCCAAGAATAAAAATAGGTTCAGAACCAGAAAGTTTCTGAATGTCAGAAAAAGGAGATCTGTAACACTCATCAAGCATTCAGGTCTGGAAAGGGGGAAAGGGCTGTTTTCAGGTAAATTTACAGGTGGGATGCAGTTGGCTGAGGCTATAATTTTCAGAATACCAGTGATCTTGGTGCTTCTTTTCAGTTGTACTGATTACTCTGTCAGGCAGAAAATAATATATGTAATTAGGAACAAAAAAAAAAAAAATATTTGAGAAGACAAAGGCTATCATCAAAGACTAGTGTGGTAAAGGAAAAAACAAGGCTGATGATAAAACCATAGTGGAAACTGGCAGAAGAGAACCTCCACAGCTGTAAATTTTGACATAATCTTGGGCAAGAACTTTGAGGCAGACTTAGTTATGTTAGGAAATTTACTTCTCTTAAACATCCTAGAATAAGGATCATAAATAGACAAGATAAACAATTTAATACATGAGTTGTATATATTGCCAGCTACTACTTTATCCTGGACTTGATTAAAACACTTTGGCACTTAAATGTTGACCCTTTCCTAATGGCAGGTCTGGTTTTGACACTCATTATATTGTGTACTGCTCAAACTCTGGTAGTGCTCTGTTATGGCTTAAACCCAATTGTATCTGCAAACTCAATGTTCTCTTGATTGTTGTACTGGTGGAGTTGTATTTGGTGCAGTTTCCAAACCAGCATAACCAGACTGAGCCTTTTCCAAAACACAGAATTCCTGGTTGCTATGTGTTGTTTACTCTCCTACCAGGTATATAGTGGAATAATTAAATGTATAGATTTATTTGTTAACATGGCTGGCTTGAAACAACAGTTGAAATTCAGATGTATCTGTGTTCTGCATGATTATGGTTTCAGTAGCTCTCTCTTCTATTTAAATATCAAACAGTTGTTAGATTTAAATATTATTTTACTACGCAGTATGAATATCCCTAAATCTAATGGCTGAGATACCTGCATAAAACAGGGAGACAGCTGTTTCAAGTCCTTCTTCAAATTGAGGAATACAGGAAATTTACCATGAACCTTGCTAATTGGTTATTTAGGCACAGAACTGGTCTCAGAAAGATCAAGTTTCTTGTTTGAGATAAGTGATTTTACATGAGTTTTAAACATCCTTCCACTCTGGTGACAGACAATTACCTTTAGTACTGAAGGTTTAATATTCTTTTTTTTTGGTCAACAGTTTCATAAGGATGAAATTCAGTCTTCCAGCAGAGAAGCATATGGGGGCAAAATTTTCTACCCTGGCCCTATGTCAGGGTTGTGTCTTGCCATAGCCAGAATCTGAGTTGCAATATTGAATGTCACAGTGGTTTTGCAATGTAACTTCAGGCTGACAAAGGGTGTGCAGCAGCTGTCATTGTTAAAATCAGTGATTCACTGTGAAGATTAAAAATTACTTTTCCTTTGAGTTAGGATCTTCTTGCACCCACAAAGCCCAGTGTGAAATTGTGCGAAGATGCTTTGCCCTAAATCTGTCCAACCAAAGACTACAACCAAAAGTGATATTGTACAAATTGATTCTTCAGTAGGGATAATGAACCTAACTAACCCAACAGCATTGCCTTTGGGAAAAAGTAGCTTGCCTTGATGTGATCTGCCAAAACCATCTGAGACCTCTACCCAGCAGTGAATTATTTCCTGTGGGTTGCTTTGTAGTATATTTTAGCCACTGAGTTGATTTATGGTTGGACAAAATTTAAGATCTAGTAGTCTTAACATGGGCAAGCCCTCGAGGACAGTCCAGGACGCCTGCTTTCCTGTGCTGTTACCTCCTCCACCTACATCTCAAAGGTCTTTGGTTGAGCCACAGAAGCTTGGGCTGGCCATGTGTTTGCTTGTAACCCTCTAAAACTCTGCTATGATCCAGGTTCAGCTGACCTACATCGCACCAACAGCTTCACCCCTGCTGAAGTTTAAGCTTTTACTGAAGGCAATAAAAGCACCCTGCAATGCAAGTAAGTTTTTTCTTAGCACACAATTGACAGCAAAACAAAAATGGCTATGTGCTAGGAATAGATGCCAGGACCCTCAGCCTCCCAATGTTCTCAAACAAATGGCCTAGCTGCCATATAGGAGTGAGGTTCATTTGTGCCTCATGTAAGTGTTGCTTGACAGGCCTCATAAGGCTAGACACAGTGCCATGTTTGTGAGGAGAGCTGTGGGGAGAGCACACACTCAAGCTGAGACTAAAGCTGCCTGCTGCTCATGCTGGGGAAATGGCAGATGCTTGCTCACCACTCTGAGAGGGTGCCCTGAACTCTGGGAAAGAGAGATTCCAGTTCTGGGAAGTCTAACACACAAATTGAGTATTGAAAGTGCAGCATCACTCTCTTCATCTAACATCTTTCTTCAGACTGGATCAGCAGATTTTCTATTCATCCTGTAAGCTCCCAGTAGAGAACAGGTTTCTGATTTAAATGCCCTTGACTTCTGCAAAGACACACTTCTCCCTGAATAGTTAAAGGACACAAAGAGGTCCCCCAAAGCAGGAATTTCTACCTCAGGCCTACAGAGGAGACTGCTTTATGCAGAAAACAAGGGTAGTCAATGGGGGAGGTTAATAAGGTCTGCCACTGGCTATCCAGGGATGCAAGCTCTGTTAAAACAAGTTTTGCACTGGGCATCCAAATAGTGCAGGCTTAATCTTAAGCTTTTTACCTGTACAAAATATTAAACATAATATGGCCATACAGTAGGTCAACTTTTAATATCCACATCTGTGTAGGTTTGCGTCTGTTGAGTCATAGCTAATTAAAATAGTTCTGGTGTTCACCTCTAAATAACATGATTTATTTACATATTTATTTAAGGGAAAAAAGCTTTTAAAAAAGCACTCATAGATTTTTGAAAAATTGGACACTTGGAAATACATCTCTGTGTATTCATTTAATGATCTAAATGGTTATTCAGGGAAAATCTAACAGTTTGGTGGAACACTGGTTAATTTTTGTTGTCTGGGGAGAGGGAAACTTTTAGCATCAATATTTAAAATTAAACTATTGACTTGAACACCTGTTCCACTTTTTTCTCATTTTTTTTTTTACTACTTTTATTTCAAGAGTACTAATTTTCTGTGCATGGCAGCACTTGGAACAGGTGCAGTGAAGCACAAGTTAGAAGAATCTGTTTGCTCTGATTGCTGGCCAGAGGGCAACACAAGGCTACGTAGCAATGCTGCGGGCAAATGAGCTGCTCTTTCATACTGATCAGTCTGCAAACTACACAACTTTTCCTTCCTGCTTATTTCTCTGTTTGTTTTATTTTTCAAAGAGCTGAACATATCAACATGTTTTCAACATGGTTTTAACATTTTCTGGTTTTAAGTGAGTTGCTGAGAGGTCAGGTTTATTTTAAGAACATGTACATTTTATGTAAAGAGTAAAAGCAGGTGAAATAAATGATGTAATAAAAAGCTGCATAGCTCACATTCAGGCACAAAGAATTAAACTATTAAGTACTCTATTAAAAAGCTTCATGGAAGTTTGCATGCATAATTCCTTTAATTTAAACTTTTATAATTACTCATACTTTATAAAAGCATAGACTTTTTCATTCTGTCTCAAGATCCCAAAGTGCATTGCAAACTGTTTGTGAAAAAACTTCTAACAGCACTGTAAGGTAGGAAAACAGAGAAAGTATCATATGGTTGATGGAAAACAAAACAAACGGGACAATTTTGTTACCTCTCATGAATTTTTATGTCTCAAATGATGTGATTTTTTCCTTAAAAAACCTTATTACAGTGCCATGGTTCTTTGCTTGGTGATGAAGTTGTCCCAGGGGTTTCTGCTTCTTTTCCTCCCAATACATGGTGTCCTCAGCTATACTTGTGCAATTGTTAATGAGGATGCACCGTAAAAGTGGGATGGTGGAATTGTCTGGATTTGAAAGGATCCCTGATATCTGTTCTCTCCTTAAATTGTTATCTTAACATGGCATGTATTCCTGATCCATTTCAGTTTCACAGCTGTCCTGTGGCGGTGCTAATGCAAAGGAAGGTAAAGGGAACCCCAGAGAAGGGACAGGAGGAGACATCTGCCTGTTAGAGAGGACACCTCTAACAAGCCATATAACTCATACCATTGCACAAAACTAGCTTGCTTTACTAAAAGGCACAAGTATGCAACTGAAACCTGTGCCAGACCTGAACTTTGGGGGGAATGGAAACATGATTGCCCATGTTTTATGCATGTAAATGTAATGAATTTCAGTGAATAAGGACACTTAACTGAGCTCTAATCTTACATTTCTCTCAAGCTAGGAAAAAAACATGGTCTCCCAGTGTAAATGCATGACACAAAACAGGCCTAAGAATCACACCATAGGCCCAAGAGTGCTGTCCAAGCACTTATTGAAGGCTGTCAGGCTTGGTGCTGTGACCTCTTCCCTGGGGAGCCTGTTCCAGTGCCCAGCCACCCTTGGTGAGGAACCTTCCCCTAATACCTAACCTAAACCTCTCCTGACACAACTTCATTCCATTCCCTCAGGTCCTGTCACTGGGCACCACAGAGAAGAGATCAGTGTCAGCCCCTCCTCTTCCCCTCAAGAGGAAGTTGTACTGGGATGATGCTTCCCCTCAGTCTCCTCCAGGCTGAACAGACCAAGTGACAGCCACTCCTCATGCAGCTTCCCCTCTAGATCATCCAATAGCTTTATGGCTGTCCTTTGGACAGTCTCTAATAGGTTTACATCTTTTTTATATTGTGGCACACAGAACTGCCCCCAGCACTCAAGGAGAGGCTGCCCCACTGCAGAGCAGAGCAGGACAATCCCCTCCCTTGCCCTGGTGGTGATGATGGGCCTGATGCCCTCCAGGACAGGGTTGGCCCTCCTGGCTGCCAGGGCACTGCTGGCTCATTGCTGTCCAGCACAGGAATATCTCTGCTACACCTGTGTAGAATGGCTTCTACTTGGGCCCTGCTGAGAGTTTTCACCATGCAGTAAACAGACACAAGTAAATAAGTAGAAATGATCATCACTTTCCTAAGAGGAGAGCTAAAGGGTGAAGCTGTTGCTGTACTGAAACTGAGCACAGGCATGCTATTATGTTCAAAGGACCCATGATTTCATCAAAGACATCAAAAGGCCTCTTACTTCTTCCAGAACAGAGCAAAGCCAATGTGAGAGAAAATGAGAATAATTTCAAAGAAATAGTCGGAGATGTCTCATCATGATACTTAAAAAATACATGATCTGAAAATTAAATTATGACCTAAATATTAAGCAATAATAAAAAAAAATAATTAAAAAAAATAGATCAGAATTATACATCAATCAAAGATACATATTTGCTTACTTTTAAATATTATTCAGATAAAACAAAAGAATATACATTTTGTGAAAACTTTGAATATTTATTTGAAGAAGGTTACTTGTTGAGATCTTAAAAAAAAAAAAAAACACAAAAAGAAGCTGCATTGAAAATATCCATTTCTAGATAGGAAAGAAGAAGTTTCTGTCTCAGTGTTTCACTGGACATTTCATCCCAATCCTCAGAAGCATGTCTATGAGAAAAGCTGTTAAAATCAACAGCATAGAACAGTCTTTGTTTTTAGAAAAAAAGCTTTTCCTGACATAAAATGATCAGTTCAAAGTGTTCTCACCAGCTCTTATTGCTGTTGCTAGCAGCAGTGAATTCTTTGCACAGAAGAGAACTTCTCTCTTGTGCTTCAGGATCTCTTAATCTTAAAAACAAGCAAACAATACCCTGAGAAAATAAGACAGATAAAAGAATAAAGAGAAAAGAGAAATTAAAATATTACTGGAACAAGGGATTATGTACTAGGGAAGGAAAGGTGGGAGAAACTATGTGAAGTTAGCTGATCAGCAGTAGGTCAACATGTTATTAGCAACTCCTGACAAATTTTGTTTTAGATTAAGAGCATTAATACTGCCATTCTTTCTCAGAAAGCCTGCAGTTTTCCCCTCCAACTATCAGCAGTGTATTTTTAGTATTTTTCCTTACCTTTATCTGATAGGCTGGCAGGGAACCAATATACAAAGTAGACCTGAAAAATCAAATTGATTATTTTTTGCAGGTCCAAAGGATAAAGCTGAATATTTTGGTAGAACCAGATCAGAAATAACTGTATTTTTAGATTAGCTCAGGAAGAGGTCCCTCTCTATAAACTCAGATGTCTGTGTGCAAAGAATGCCTAAATCCACCCTTTTCCCTGAACTATGGGCAAAGGATGGGGGGAAAACCAGTGTGTGAAAGGGTGGGCAAGAAGAGGGAGGATGATGAGTAAGACTCCTTCAGCTTAGGTCACTGGTTTCCATTAAATGCTCTCTGGTAGTTAGACACCCTGTGACTAGGTAGCTCTTTCTTTGTTCTTAGAGACACCAAGTTATGCCAGAGTAGCGAGCCAAAACACGTTCCCTATTACAACATGGCTTTTACTTCACAGCACTGAAGGGCTGCCTTACTGAGCAGGTGCTCCAGTCAGGAAAATGAGCACAATCTGAAAGAAGTTGAGGTTAATACTTATGAAGACTCTTTGCTCTAAACTTAAATGGATGAAAGCAGCCTTTCATGACTGCAGTTAGAGTAAAACAAGTTGAAAGAGATGGCATTGCTGCCCGAGGTTGCCCTGAATGCATTTTCAAGGTGAACACTTTGTTATCATTTTACCTTTTGTATTGGTCCCAATTCTCAGTAGGCAAGGGGAGGTAGGAAGATGATGAGGGAGAACAGTAGGAGAATGGCTATAGATGTTATAATCTCTGAGTTTTAAATTACAGTATCCAAATGTGTTAATGGTTTCCTTGAGACCAATAATCTTATGATTCCTTCTGAAGAATAGTATTCAGGAGTGTATCTCTTAAAGTGTCCTATACAAATGATTTACTTGCATCGACAGAAAAGACAACAGTGCCTGTGATAGTTTGTGGAAGAAGAAAGAGTTAGAGTTTCATTTTGAAGTAGACTTACTGTTTCAAAGAGAATTGT